GCAGCTTTGAATTTCTGTCGAGAAATAGTGCTCACAATTCGAAAATACCTTGATAATCATATCTTCGAGCGTGGGATTAGCAGGAAAAGACCGCAAATCCTCAGGACACTCCCCCTGCCATTTGACCATCCCAGTACGCATGTCAATGTTGAGTGTAAACAGACAGGCTTGCTGCCATGCCGATTCGCGCTCATTATATCCCCCAATTTTGACAGAGGAGGATCCAACATTAAAAGTGAGTATCATGACTCAAGTGATAGATGCGGTAAGTGTTTGGGAATATAACGGATTTTTTTCTTTGGTGCTAATATCGTTGCAACACCTGTAATCACAACATCTCCTCGCTGATTGGTGACATTACAATTTAATTCAACTTTATGTTTTTCATTAACGACATTAATGACTTCAAGTTCTATGGTTAAGACATCCGCTATATAAACAGGTTTTTGGAAACGTAAGGTTTGCCCCAAATAAATGGTACCAGGGCCTGGGAACTCTTTGCCAAGTAAAGCAGAAATGAAAGATGCACCCAACATACCATGCGCAACGATCCCTTTAAACCCCATTTCTCGTGCAAATTCATCATCTAAGTGTGCTGGATTGTCATCGCCTGAGACTAAGGCAAACTCGGTAATATCCGTTGCAGTAACGGTTCTTACCATCTGTCTTTTTTGACCGACGGTGAGTTCATCAATCGTGTAGTTTTCAATGACGGCGTAATTGTCTTCCATGTTAATTCCTAACGGTAATTAAATAATTGATTAAATTTAAAAGATCTAATGTGTTGCATTAAAACCTGCATCGACAAATTGAATTTGTCCCGTCAAAGCACTTCCAGCATTACCAACGAGCATAGCAACAACAGCCCCAACTTCCTCGATGGTTACCCCTCTATGCAAAGGGGCAAACTCAATGGCATCCTCAACTAACTCGTTGAAATCCTCTAAACCAGAAGCAGCACGTGTGACAATAGGACCGGGTGAAACGGCGTTTACACGAATCTTCTGATCACCCAATTCCAAAGCCATATAACGTACCATAGACTCAAGAGCGGATTTAATGGGGCCCATCATGCCATAGTGTGGAATAGCACGTTCTGCACCAATGTAGGACATGGCAATTAATGAGCCACCTGTGGTCATATGGGGCTCGCAAGCGTGACCTAGCTCAGCAAAAGCATGACACGAGATTTGAGTTGCGCGGAGAAATCCTGATCTTGAGCAGTCGATCACTCGTCCGTGTAAATCCTCCAGTGGTGCCCAAGCGATAGAATAAACTGCAGAATCTAAACCACCCAACATATCAGCGGCAGTGTGAACAGTTTGCTCTATACTGCCTTCTTGTTCGACATTACAAATGAGCAATTCG